GAGAAAGAAGCAATGGAGGGAGGAAGGAAGGAGAAGGGAGGAAGGAATAGGAAGAAAGGAGAAAAAGGAAGGAAGGAAGGAGAAACAAGGGAAGAGAAACAAGGGAGGGGGAGGGAGGGAGGCAAGGAGGGAGGGAGGCAAGGAGGGAGGGAGAGAGGAAGGAAGGAAAGAATAGGAAGGAGAAACAAGGGAGAGAGGGAGGGAAGGAGGGAGGGAGGGAGGAGGGAAGGAGAAAGGAGTAACACGGAAAAAAGGGAAGGAGGGAGGAAGGAAGGAGAAACAAGCAAAGGAGGGTGGGAGGAAGGAAGGAGAAAGAAGGAATGGAGGGAGGGAGGAAGGAGAAGGAAGGAAGGAATAGGAATAAAGGAGAAAAAGGAAGGAAGAAAAGAGAAGCCAGGGGGCGGGGGAAGGAAGGAGAAAGAAGGAATGGAGGGAGGGAGGAAGGAAGGAGAAGGAAGGAAGGAATAGGAAGAAAGGAGAAAAAGGAAGGAAGGAAGGAAAGAGAAACAAGCCAGGGAGGGAGGGAGGAAGGAAGGAGAAAGAAGGAATGGAAGGAGGAAGGAAGGAAGGAGAAACAAGGGAGGATAAACAAGAGAGGGAAGGAGGGAGGGAGGGAAGGAAAGAATAGGAAGGAAAAACAAGGGAGGGAGGGAAAAAGGGAGGGAGGAAAAAGGAGTAACACGAAAAAAGGGAGGAAGGAAGAAAGGAGAAACAAGCGAGGGAGGGTGGGAGGAAGGGAGGGAGGGAGAAAGGAAGGAGACAAGCGAGGGAGGGAGGAAGAGCAACAATACCTATTCTTGAATCTAACTGGACCTGGGATTTGTCAAAAAAAAAAACCTGGGGGCCAAACCCCCCCCCTGCCCCCCCCCCCGTTTGCCAAGGAGGGCTCAAGGGGCAGATGGTCCTGGGAGGGGGGGGCAGGGACCCCAGATGGGGGGAGGGTCACTGAGTGAGGGAGTGCACATGCGCATGAAGGTGCCCAAGGGCTCCCCCAGCACCCGGCCCAGAGACCCCCAAGTCTTCCCTGGCCGTGGCCTGGGCCCCTCCCCTTCTCTCCTCCAGGGCAGAGCCTGGGGGGAGGACCAAAGGAAGCCCCCCTCCCTCCATCCCCACCAGGGAGGCCAGAGGGAGAAGAAACGGGAGGGAGAAATTCATTTTCCTTCCAGAGGAGAAGAGACGCAGCTGCGTTTCCACCTGGAAACCATTTCTGGACTTTGTGCTTGAGGCAGAGAAAATGGAGACTCAACTGGGGTTTTCTGATTACATTTGGGGTTTTTAAAAATAGAAATGAAATAAATTTAGGAAGAATGTATAACAGAAGTAAAAAGCTGAGGCTGTAATTTCACTTTGTATTTTTTCTGCGCTGAAAACCCTTTTCCTTTCCTCCCTCCTTTCTCCCAAACTTCTCCTCCCCTTCCCTTCCCTTCCTCATTTCCTCACTTGCCTGATTTGTTCTCTTTTCCACCAGGATCAAATAAGAATAAGAAAGAAATCACGAAGAAAAACTATTGGGAAAAAGGACCCTCATTTTAGCAGCGCTTCCTATTCCACCGTCTAGACCCACAAATGTCTCAGGGGAAAAAGTGCCATTTCTATGTCCGCATTTTTATATCGGCCATTTCTCTCCAAAAGGAAACTTGGCCTATTTTCTCTGCTGAAAGGATCGATTCTTGGACTTGGAAAGGATGGCGGGAGGTTGCAATTGCTGGAGGAAAGGAAAGGCGGCCAGACGGTGTTCCAGGATCTCCATCCGAGGCTGTTTGGCAAGGAAAAGTGGGGTCCCGACCCCAGAAAGAAAGGGGAGATGCCTTCCCCTGGAGGGCTCAGGGGGCGTCGGAAGGGGCTCTTCCAGTGAGAGAGACGCAGGTTGCAAGGACAGGAACACCGCTTTCTCCTGCAAAGCCGAGAGATCCCTCTGGAAATCCCCCCCATGAAGGGGGGGCTGAGGAGGGGATCCGGCTGGATTAGGGGGGATCCCAGCAGATCCTCTCCATCTCTTCAAGCAGGAACTCTCAGCTGGGGGTTTTCCTGGCCTCCCTTCAGGTTGGGGGAGTGTGGGACCCCCAAGTCCTGGCTAGCTGTGGGGCTGCGCCTCCCCCTTTCTCCTCCTCCCAGGCTGAGCGGGGGGGGGAGCCCAAAGGACCCCTCAAACTCTGCCTCCTCTTTGCCCTTTTGGAGTCTCCGCAGCTCCAGCCTGGGTGCCCTCTGGGCACTGTGGGCACTCAAAGGGCATCTAGTCCGCCCCACCAGGCGTTCGGAGAAAGGGAGACGGGATGAGAATCATGGGGGGAGGGTGGCGCAAAAGGAAGTTCCTCTGGAGGGGGCGAGGCTCAATTGGAGGGCTACCTAAGGGGATCTAGAGATGTTGGGGAGAAGGTAGGGGTCTTCCACCCAGGGCTGCCCCATTGAACCCCCTCCCTCTTTCCCGCAGAGCTGGTCTTCCCCTCCATGGCCATAGTCTCCTACACTATGCTTGGGCATACACCATTTAGGTCTAGTCTATACCCTTTGAATCTGAGCCCAAAAGAGGGAGGGGGGGTGTGTGGGGTGCCAAAATGCGGCAGGATCTTCCTCCAGTTGTCAGGGAGAGAAATGATTGTAATGGCTGGGCCAATGTAGGGGGGTCTCACGTGCCCCCCAATGGCTCCCCAAAAACGTTCAGGGAAGAACAGGCCGGCTGGCATTGTGCTTCTCCAAAGGGGGCTTGAGGGAAAGCAGAGCAAGGAGGCCTCTGAGCAGGAGGGGGTCCTTCCCCTCCCCGGATGTGCCCACCATCCTCCCGAACCAGTTCTGTCTTCGGACCCCCAAAGGAGCTGGGATCCAGAGGCAGCAGAGGGAGGAGCCTCCTGTGGGGGCAGCAAAGAGGAAGGAAGGAGTCCAGGGTTTCCTGCTTCTAAAGTTTATTCTTTCATAGCAAAACGGAAGGAAGGGAAGTGATTCATAAGAAGAATAATGTAGATGAAGCTGCTGTGGGTTCAAAGCCAGGAGAGATAAAGGTGCTAGAGGGACAGGTCGACCCAGCAGCCCAGGGGACAGTCTAGATGGTCTCCACCCCTCCCTCACAAGAAAGGGAGGCCCTCAAAGGAAGCTACCATCCTCCTTCTCCCCACAACCTGCCACCTTCAGCCTCCATTTCTCAGAGGTTGCACAGGACAAAGAATCATCAGCTACTAAAGAAAAAAATATCCTTTGCATCAGAGAGCAGGATTAATCCATGAGGGCTGCAGAAAAAGAGACAGGGAAGAAAATTAGAATATAAAGAGACATTTTTTGCGTAAATAACATTTTTTTCTTCCCTTTCAGCCCCCCAACCCCAAGGCAGGCCCACACTGCAGGGGGGTGATTGACAGACAGGGACAGATAGAGGGAGAATCTGCCTATTTCAGGGAGGAAAAGGCTGGGAAGGACCAGGGATTCCTCCCCATTTCATCCCCAGGGGATTCTGGGATTCTCCCTATTTGTCTTAATTAGAGCGTTAATCAAGAGGAAAGACCCCCCTCCCTCCCACCTGCAGACATTTTCTATGAGCAAAGGACATGGGGCCACAATGGGGGTGTAAGAATAGGGAGGACCCTGGGGGTCACTTGGCCAGAAATTGTGTGAATTCCCACAAGGAGAAGCGGGGTCAGGAAGAACAGCCTGTCACGGTTCTGACTAGTGACCCCAAATGAGTCTCCATGGAGAACCAAGAAGGATCATCTGGGACTGGTGGGGGGAGGATGGGGTCCAGTTCACAGTGGAGTTCTGGAGGGAGTTCATGAAGGTGATAAGGTCATCATTCTCAAGGGCTTATCTCCACCCTCCAAGTACGGAGGGAGCTGCAGAACGAACTAACGCTATTATAGAACAATACCTGAGATGCTGTGTTAATTATCAGCAATCTAGCAGGGAAGATCTCCTGCCATTTGCTGAAGTGGCCCAAAATACCACAGTGCATATTAACATGGGACTTCCCCTTTTAAAATAGCCACAGGGGTGGAATTGGTCCCCATGCCTGAATCCCCTCAGGAACCCCTTTCCAGAGTGAGCCTAATAGGATGGGTGGGTTGCTTACAAACTATTGGGGGGGGGGAATGTAAACCTGGCGTGCTCCTTCCCTTCCCTTTTGCAATTTTCCAAAATTGGAAAAATTCTGCGCAAGATTTTAGTGTTTCTGCATAGTTTTCTTTTTGATTGCAATATTTTTTCTGATCTCTGTAAGGAAAAGCTGCCCAAAATCCAAAAATTTGCTGTATCCACAGAAAGGAGATATTTTTTAAAAAAATATTTAAAAAACACCTATAAATTGTAGGAGGGGCTGATATGAGGGAGGAAGAGGAGAAACTCACCTGCAGGAGGTTGGATGGGAGTGGCTAGAAGGAGAAAAAGAGCCAATCAGGATCCTTCATCAGCTGGAGGACTCAGGGGGGCCCCTCCCCACTGATAGCCCATAATAGGTTGGAGGATCTTCCCTTATAGCCCCTTTGACCCTCCCCACAACTTCTCCTCCAGCCCCCCAGACTCACCTTTCTTGCTCTTCAGGTAGGAGAAGAGCCCCACAGCCAGGAAGGCCACTCCTATCACAGCCCCCATGATCCCCGTCCAGAGTTTCTTCCTGGCAGAGCTGGAGGAACGGGGCTCTGGGGAAGGAGAAGGAGGCTCACCTGAGCAGGAGGATCAGGCCCACCGTCCCCCAGGAGGGTCCATTCCGGCTCCCCCCACAGGGAGGTTCTCTCCCCTTTTTCAGGGCAGGTGGGGAGGGAGGGGAGGGAGGGGCTTACCCCACTGGATGGTGATGGGGTTCTCCAGGCTGATGTGCCCCACCTGGCAAGTGTAGACGTCCCCCC